TACAGTGGACATTAAGCCCGCCCTTGGCTCAACCGGGAACTCTATGGTGGTCGCTGCAGTCTCGAGGTGGCCCAATCCAAGATCAGTGTCTCGCTGATCGCCGCAGACTGCATTGCTCAGGCTCATGGGGTGCTTCTGTGATGGTTTGCTATCAGCCTTGGCTGGACTGGGCTGTGGCTTATTTTTTCTGGAAGCCTCCCTGGGGGCTAGTAGGCTGGGTTTGCCCACTTTTGCAGGCATGTCGTCGCCGTGCATGGAAGTTATCGGTGGGCTAATGTCCAGATCACAGAAAACCCTCAATGGGACTATTTGGAATTTGAGCAAGAAGAGCTTCATCTTCATCAGCATAGATGGTAGTATTGATTGCTCAAAAGTAATTTCGATGTTCTTGTCTGCAGAGACTTGGGGTAACCATTTCACTTTAATTAGGTCCACACTTGGAGGGGGTATACGTAGTAGCTGGCCCAACGATGTTCTGATAGTTCTGTATGATCTCCATCTACCCTTGTTTATGTTGTTGTTGGCAATTCGCAGCCTTATCTGGTTTGCTTGCAGGATTCTATTACACTTGGTAGAAGTAAATGAGTAACCTCTAGCTACCTTTGTGTAGGGCTTTTCATCCTTTGTATTTGCCTCCCTTCTGGGCCCCATACCGACCGTTTGAGCTGGTTGAACTGAGCTTCCCTTTGGGGCCTCATTCTTCTGAGCAAAAGAGTCAAAAGAGAGCCTTAACTGCTCAATTTGGTTTGTTATACTTTTAAATCTTTCAAAGATATATGCCACTGTTTTCGCAGTCAGCAAACAAGCACTGGTGGGGTTAGTTTGTTTTACTAGCTCAGATTGTTTGAGCTCAGCAGTTAATGAGCTTGTTCCAGGAGTATCTCCTCCACACAGCCCCAAAGACGCTTCTTCCTGGAATACTAGTGAGTTGTTGCTGGAGTTTATATTTTCTTTATCCGAGGGTAAGCAACTGTTATCGGTAATTAATGGATACAGTTCTGGTGTACTCACGTTTCCCACAAGGTCGTCTATCTTTAGTTGTTTGGAAGGTTTATGCTGTTTGAGTGTCTCTGGGCTGGACCTTGTCCGTTTGTTTTTGTTTTTGTCTCTTTTGTTTCCCATTTGTAGAAGCAAAGATAAGTTGCAGGGATGGAGTATATAAAAAAAAATAAGAGAGATAAAAAAACTGGAAGTGGTAAGCTTCCTTAAAATGCCTTGGAGCTTGATTCAAACAAGTTCAATGCAGTTCAACCAGCATTATATGAGTCTACACTGACCATTACAATCAAGTTCAAAATGCATTATATGGCAGTGTACATGGGATCCCATTGAGTGATCTTGGGCAAGTCGCAATTCTCTTAGCCCCAGAAGAAGGCAATGTCAAACTCTCCTGGACAAATCTTGCCAAGAAAACCCTGTGATAGGGTTCTCATAGGTCAAAATTGACTTGAAGCCACATAACAAAACTCTAATGTCAACACTACTAATTTAATAGAACTCTAGTCCCATGTATACTTCTGTGGGAATAAGCTCCATTTAGCATGCCAGGAATTGCCTTTGAGTGAACATGTTCAGGATTGGTCTATACCTGTAAATGCATGGAGCACAAAAGAGAGGTGTTATTTATTAAGTTTCATTGCTGGAGGGAACCTGTGGCCCACCAGAAAATGTCAGCCAATGGTGAAGGATGACAGGAACTGCATTCACAAAAACTGTTGGAGGGCCACTTGTTTCACATTTTTATTTTACAGGCATGAATAACCATAGCATGACAGTTAAGAAGAAACAAACCAAGTGCCTATGACTTAGAATACGGAAAATGACAGAAGCATGAAAACTAACAATGATCCCACAAATTTAGAATTACAGGCAGCCCCCAAGTTACAAACAAGAAAGAGAAGCTTTGTAGCTTTGCTCTTAAGTTGAATTTATATGAAAATTGGAACAGGTACATTTTTAAGTGTAACTCCAGATAGATAGATAGATAGATAGATAGATAGATAGATAGATAGATATTACACTTAACAATGTACCTGTTCCGACTTCCACACAAATTCAACTTAAGAGCATATGTTTGGATAGCATAGGGAAAGTTTTTGAAAAATTTGGCTTGTTATGGAAACAAGGATTGGTGATAAAACGCCAGTGGAGACAACTTTTCCCCATGATAACTCTTTCAGGAGTGAATTTCCCTTCAGAGGGGTAGATTTCTCTCACTTCCTGTTGTCTCACCCACATTCTTAACTATGAGTTGTTCATAAGTTGGATGTTTGTAGCTCAGGGACAGCCTGTACATAGCACTATCTTTTAAATCTCAGAATGGTAATCCCCAGTCAAAACATTTGACTACAAAATCAAGAACAATCATAATCCCATCAAAAGGTATTACAGCTAGTCTCCTAGCTTCAAATTATGATATTTATTTATATTATACTTAGTTTAGATGCTAGGCATTCAAATTGTTTCACAGAAGTGAGCGAGGATGCTTACAATGCTAATCTGTGTGAAAATAAAAAAAATGCAAATGGGCCAAAACAAAGCCTTCAGAGAGGAATTTTAGTATGACACACAAATGATACAAACAATTTAAAATAATTCAAGATTAAAACATTTAAAAACTTAAACAGCATAAGAGCATATTATTCGTGGTAACCTTATGGCATCGAATTGCTGCCAATTTGTAAGCCGACTTGAGTTGCCTTCGGGCTAAGAAAGGCGAGATAGAAATATTGTAAATAAATAAATTAAACAGCTTAAAATCCTACAACATTTTTTTAAAAAAACCTATTGACTTTTAAAATAAATTTATCCTCAAAGCCTTTAATAAAATGCTATGCCTTGACTTGGAACAGAAGAAACTACACTTCTTTGTCAAAGGATAGGAGTCATGCAGATCAAGCTGTAGCTAGAGATTTCCATGCTAGCAGACCATTCACAGTTTTATTCCAGATTTTAAAGGAGTTTGTTGAAGTGCCACACTGATTTTTGTCAAAGGGTTCAACTCATTTATAGGATACATGGCATAAAGGATATGGAAGCCACTAGACCTCCAGATATTGTTGGGCTGCATGTTCTTGAACTCCTAGCTAGCATAGCTAGTGGTGAGGACTCCTGGGACTTCTAGTTCATCATTATCTGATGGCACCATAAACCCGAATTAGAATCTATGCACAAGATTAGAATTGCAAAAAATGGTTGTAGTTCCGTCACTCCCCAGCTACTTACAGCCAGTTATGGGTTCTCAAGTAGAAAATAGAAATATTTTGTCAGGAATGGTAGTTAGCAACATAACTTTTTGAACAGATCTGTGCTGAGGGTCTTACATTCTGCTCAAGAGAACTCTAATCATGAATCACAGATGGTGAATGGATAGCATATTTTATAGTACTGTACTATAGTACTGTATCCTTTACAGAAATGCACAAAAGCAACTCAGATATTCTTCAGCAAAGACAAGCCTTACTATTTCGCAGTGGATGAAAAAAAAATGTTTTGTTGACAGAACCAAGTCAAGATTTATATCTCTAACCCATAGTATCATGCTCTTACTGTAAATCATTACGTGGCAATGAATCACTTGGGGTTCATGTGACAGTGAATCATTTTACAGTACCTACAGTAGTCAGGTGCAAGTTCAGTTTCAGGTGACTTTCGGTATTGAAGAACTACTTTCCTCCATGTAAGATGCAAAAAAAAAAATCATGAAAATGAACCTATTATGTGAACTGTTTTGTGAGAAAGGCAGTTGGATGACTATTTGTAGTTACAGTAGTCCCTCCACATTTGGGGTTTTGACCTTTGCGGATTTGATTATCCACTGATTTGATTTAAAATCTCTAGCTCCTTCAGTGTGGTTCTAGGGTCAATTTTTCACAGTCATGCTGAAATAGGGGTTTCTAGAGAGAGAGAGCACCTCTCTGGAAATGTTTACATCCTCCAATGCGATTCTATGGTCAGCTTCCGACAGGAGCTGACTAAAAGTTGTGTTGGAAGACCTAGAAATTCATAGGAAGGTGTTCTCTCAAATAAAAAATTGTGATTTCCATATTTGCAGTTCATCACTTGCACTGGAATCTTGTGCCCATTCTAGCAAATATGGAGAGCTGCCTTAAATGGCCTTAAACTTGAATTGCCTTAAATACTGTATGATTAGAGAGCTCTTCACATGGCCCTTTTTGGCCACGCCGTTGCACTGGCAATCGCCAGAGAAAGGGAAGGTGCGCCCTCTCCTCCCCTTTCCGCACTTCCCCTCCATTTGGGAGAAATGTGGGCAAGGCCTGCTGTGCATCATGTGAGGGTACATGGCAGGCCCCATCCTTGCCATGCATAAAAGCTGCAAAACAGGACAAATATGCCCTGTGTGAAGAGGTCCTAGGTCTCATATGCAATATTTTTCAGTCTAATACCTATAGGAAATGGGGGGGGGGGGGGGGTTTAAATGAACCAACAACACAATGTCACAGGCGGCTTTCTCCCAAAATATTGCTTTCTATTCCCCTTTCTCCCTTCTTTCTCCCACCATGTTCTGAACATATGGTGTGGATCATTGTGTTGTGAAGATGTGCACGTGAAGGAATACCTTTGGAGAATTATTGTTCTTCTCACCATAATAACACCCCACGTCAACCACCATTTAATCCTACTTGGGTTACTATTCTGTAGTTATTTTATGGTTGAGTTCATTGTTTGGAAAGAGCGATGGATGCTATTTCCGGAAGTTGATATGGTTCTTTACAAATAGGATTTATCTTCTCCTATTTAAACTATTACAACAGAGATAGAATGATCAAAAGACCACAGTTAGAAATCATCTTGAAATGTGGCCTGCCATTTTGAATCTATACATGTATGGACGGGAAATAAATATCCAGTACAAGAATTTATCAGTGTAATCTGGCTCTCCTATCATTCAACTCTCACACACCTGTATACATGAACATTAATCAAATCCAGATGAAGTAAAATAATGAAGTAATTGCTCTGTCTCTCTTTTATGACAGACTTCCTGACCTACCAGAAAACTCAGTACGGTAAGTATAGATCATTTCATCTTAATTAAGAGCCTGAATTGCAGAGTGCCATTTGCCAGGATCTCCAAACACTTGTTTGTGTACACAATTCATTGGATGATCATGTACATTTTTTCAATTCTTATTATGTTTGTGTATTTTAATATATTGAAAAATCCACATGTAGAAGTAAATAATTATTTTTAAATTACATTTCTTCATCTACATTCCAATCTGAATTCATTGAATACCAGTACTGTACACTAACTGCTGGATGGGCCCTCTTGACAAATATTTATAAAATACATTGTGTTCTTTAGGTATAATAATGATGAAAAGTATCAATCATCAGGATCTGGTCTTGTGGAAAATCGCTATCGGCCTTTGCATCCTTACATCCATTGTAATGTAGACATCAAAGGTAAAGCACAGGTCATTTCTATTAGACTTTTATTTTTCAGTCTTAGTGTTTTCCATTCTTTTTTGACAGCTAAAGATCAATAAAACTTGTGAAAACTGGGTAGCTAAATACAACGTTTTTGGAAAACATGATCTGTGTCCCACGTGTGGCCCTAAAGGACTTTTTTACAGTCCTCTACACTTCCTCGGGACTCCCAAAAGTCCACAAACTCCACATTTAAAAAAAAATCCAGTGCACAAAAAAGTCAAGCTGCCAGTCTCAGAGCAGCAATTTATCCTTATTCAGATTCCTAACCCCCACAACCCAATACATTAAAAATAGACTTACCAGAAACCAAATGTTACAACCTAAAGTCACTTCTGCTAGTTCCAGCCAGTGAGATCCACCGAGATGTGTGTTTGTGTTAAGGCTGGCCTCTATTGCCCACCTCACCCATTGATCATATCTCAGTCATGAAAGGCAGCACCATACAAAATGCAGGTGACTAAGGCAACTCTGCACATTACTGGGAGTTTAAGGTGAAGAAGTACATGAGTGTTGCATTACCCATGTTCACATCTTTTTATAATCTACAGATTAAAAATATGCACCCTCCACAAATTCTGTTTCAGTGTTGACAATAAGAGCCACAATGGCACAAAAGGGTTAAACTTTTGTGCCGGCTCAAATGCTGACATTAAGGTTAGCAGTTTGAATCCAGCTCCAGCTTCCCATGTCAGCTCCAGCTTCCCATGTGGGGATATTAGAGAAGCCTCCCACAGGATGGTAACACATCCAGGCATCCCCTGGGCAATGTCTCTGCATTCGGTCAATTCTCTCACACCAGAAGCGATTTGGAGTTTCTCAAGTCACTCTTGACACAATTTTTAAAAAGTGTTGACAATATCCTTACATTAACATTAGTATAATGAAGAAAAAATATTCCTAGATGAAGGTAGAAAATAACTGAAGGAAGGCAGAAGAGTTACTGGTAATATAAAATAATCCAATTGCATAATATAGTAATACATATAATTTAAAACTCTAAAGGAGCTAATTGTTTAAAATCCTATTACAAAAGAAACCTACACCATTTCAATAGGAAATCTTGATTTAATAGTAATCTGATAGTATAACTGTTTAATATGCTTGGGTCCTACAGAACAATAAATAGAAAGAAACTAAATAGTTATGTTTCAACATCTGTTGGGAAAATGTATCCCCAAAAGACAATGAATTATTTGGTAATATAATTGGGAGGAATGCATTTAAATGGCTTTGAGATCTACTTATAAGGGAGAAAGAAATTATAATGGATAATGTTAATTATTTTGGGAATTCTTTCTGATGATCGTATTGAAGACCAATCAATAAACAAGGAAATGGATTATAGAAATTGGGAGGGAATGTTTTGAAGACAAAGCCCCAGACTAATAAATACCATCGAACCCCATGGCCTAATAACCACTAGATGTTAATGATATTAACCAGCCAGTCAAGTTGAATTAAAGAGCACCTTTCTGTAACTCATAAGAATAATGAAGACAGTGTGATCTTTGCCTAACAATATAGGCTCGCAATATTCTAGAGAAAATTGATTGAAGAATTTCATGTCCTTGTAAATTTTATCCTCAACTGACCCTAAGAAGTATGGAGGTGGACAATCACAGAGATTCTATTTTTGCTTTGCAAAAGTATCATTGGAGGACACATTCTATTCCAAGCAAAGCTTATCAGGTTAATCATTACCGCCTCAAGAACGCTCTGTCTTAAAGAATTTCTGGGTAAGGGTAGCCAAGTATCCTGATTTATGGGATAATCTTCTATACTCTAAGGTGCAATGTTACCCCCCAATAGGTCCTGGAGAGAGCCAGACCTGCTCCCATGAAATAATAAATAGAGACCCCAAACATCTCCAGGATGTGGGGGGGGGGTACATTTTCAACATGTTTTGACTTTCAAAACCCATATGTGAGCAGAAATGCACCCCATGCCACTAGAGTACAGGGGCTATACAATATATATTTTTGACTTCAAGGTGACCTTGGGGGGCACATGCAAACTTCCCAACAAATAGATTATTTTCCTTGAAACACTGCTTAAGCTAGAACAGAAAACAGTATTCTCACCTGTACAAGTACAAGTAAGTATTTGTCATTTACCTCTTCCAGATCATCCCCACAAAAATGATGGTGCCGGCGAACCTTGCAATATTACCAGACACACTATGGGATGGCAAGAACAACATGACTCCTCTCATGTAGGTAATCATTATTAAATTTGAAATAACAGCATTAGTTGCATTATCAACACTTATTAGTGCAACATATGTTTTTCCTTATATTGGGGTGGGAAGCATACTGCAATTCGCAGCATTCCTCATTATTGGCTTTGCTGCCAAGGATTACTTGGAAGCTGTGGTTCCAACATCGAGAGAGCTGCACAAGCCTTACACCAGCAATCTGCTGCAAGTCAGAACATGCAATACTGAGTTACACAGACCAGCTGTCTGATGATAACACTAAGAGGGCTTGTCATGCTCCTACTATTGATCCAGCATCTGGCCAAGAAAAACTAATGGAGTAGTAACTATTTTTAAAAGAGGTTTTGGGAGGTGTTTAAACCACATTTACATCGCGAGCTATAATACAACATTTGGGAAATGTTCCAGTCATTGAGGATTGATTCAGCTCATAGCCCTATGTGGAAACAAAAGTGGGACAAGTGACTGTTTTGAATATAATGCCCAGAATTCTCCTCTAGGAGTCTAAGGTCAATCTACATTGCCACATAATGCAATCTGAAGCTGCATTGTGTTGTCATTATGTGGGGACGGGCTTAGCACAGCAGGCCAAACCACTGTACTGCAGACAAATCAGCAGTTTGAACCTGGGTTGAGGTGAGCACCAACTGATAACCCCAGCTCACGTGCCCACCTAGCAAGTCAAAAGCAGAAATGCGAGTAGATAAAATAGGTACCACTTTTAGCGGGGAGATAATAAAGGTGCTCTTAAGGACATTGACCGGAGGAAATCTCCTCGGCATAGAAGATGGAGTGAAAGCATCCCACCCGCCCCATCCCCCGTGGCTGGAGTCGAGCACAGCCTCCAAGATACCAGAAATAAGATCTTAAAAAACTGCCTTTACCTCTGTTTGTGTTATGTGTCCTTTGTGTTGCGTGTCCTAGTTAATTGTACAATCTGCATTGAATGTTTGACATATGTGTGTTCTGTAAAGCCACTTTGAGTCCTCTTCGGGGTGAGAAAGGCAGGGTATAATACTGTAAATAATAATAATAAATAGTATAGGTTCATATAATGCAGTTCACCTGTGTTCAACTACTTCAAACTACATTATATGGCAGTGTAGACAAGGCCTAAGAAAGTAACTTTACCAGAGTTTGGACAAAAAGCCTTGATTCTCAATTGAATAATTTAGCATTGAGGAGTATTTCTAAACATTTTCTATTTTATTTTGCAAACTGCTTCATTTCCAAACCAATTGTGCAAGAATATACATTCACATGGGGTCATTTGTACTATGGGCAACCTCCTTAACTAAGGCTGCTTTGAGGGATCATGCAACTCTCTTGTTGAAGTGGCTTTATAGATTACCAGTCCATCTCTGGCCAGAACTGAAGTGCTGGCTATGCCCCTTAAATCCCTACTTAGCTTGGATACAGATTGTTTGAAATGTTATATCTCCCCATGCAAGCTGACCAAGTTTAATATCTTTGGAGGAGTGGTTTTATTCAGTCCCATCAAAGATTCAATTGGTGGGGACATAAGAGAGAGCCTTCTCAGTGGCTGCTCCTAGTATGGAACTCCTTCCCACCGGATCTCTGGATAACCTCCTTCCTGTTCTCTTTCTGCCAGCAGGCTAAGACTTTTTTTATTTAGAGAGGCCAATTAATCATATCACAAAAAGGTACTCAAAGTACTTAGTGTGTTTTAATTATATTTTAAATGCATTTAAGTTGCTTTAGTTACATGCTTTCAATTAAATTGAGATTTAGTTGATTTTTTAAAAACTTTATAATGGTGTGCTTAATATACATTTATTTTACATTATGTAAATTGTATTGTGTTACCTTAGCAAGAGAAAAGCAATGTATTGATTGAATAAAAACAAATTGTACAATTTCATTTTAGCATTTATTTTTAATACAAGATTTCTCAGTTTGCAGAAGAAGATGATCAGTTTTATGATCCACATGACTCATTTACTCGGGCTCCAAAAGCTGCCGTCAAACCACCAGAGCTTGATATCTCATACAGAGCTGCCAATTTGCTGGAGAATGTCAAGAAGGCACTTTGGATGTCAACTTACAAACGTGACTACACAGGTATGAATTTTTTAGCAATTTAAAGTGTTAAATATCAGCATAAGCAAATACCTTTTTTTAGATAGTGGGGTTCAGACAATGTCCTCAAATATTGCTATTTCAAACAAGAATCTTAAAATGGAAAAATGTATTTGTGAATTTTTTCAGAATTTATTTATTTTTTATTTATTTGCAACATTTATATCCCGCCCTTCTCACCCCGAAGAGGACTTAGGGCAGCTTACAACAGAGGCAGAATGTTTTCTGAGAAGATTTCATTTCAGCCTCATTTAATATCCAATCTTTTTACTGAAGGCACAGGTTCCATGAACCCGCTGCTGCTGGACGATTATGATGCCAAGGTTATAGGAAGAGCAACTGGAGAACTGGGCAAATATGTGGATCTTGTAAGTATAGTCAACACTACCACTTGATGACAGAGTTTTGAAAAATACTTCTAAATATATCCCAGTCATTCTGCTACAAGATTCTAGCAGTAATAATCTAGAAAGTAGTTTTCCCTAGCTTAGCCTTCAACTCAGTCCTACATGCTAACTGTTGCACTCCAGGTCAGGAACAAGCCCTCTGACTTTAAAACACACCACACGGAGAGTGAAGAAACAGATCTTCTTTTATTGAAGCTTAGCAAATAGCCAGATGAAATAAATGCTTGTAAAAATATAAGAAAGTTCCAAAAAGTAATGTCCATAAAAGGTAGTAACGCAAAGCAATGTCCACACCAGATATAAAAGCAATCCAAAACAGCATTTATCCAGACAAGAATCAACAAGATGCAAAGACCCTCCAAAAGGCTAAAAAAAACTCCACAGGAACAAGATCCCTTGAACAGGATTTCCATGGTACATGAATTTGGTTTCCAAACGATGCCTGATCTAACAGGTTTCCCCTAGAGGCAAACCTTATATTCCAAAAGTCAGAAATTGGTTTCGCTTCCCCCCCCCCCCCCACATTTAGCCCTTATCAGACGAAGCCTTTCAGAGCGATGTAAACACTGAGTTTGCTGTCGATCCTGGCTAATCTCCAGCTGCCTAATCTTCAGCTCCCTATCTGGCTGCTCATTAAAATTCCCAGGTGTCAGATTGTTTTCCAAACCCAAATCTTGAGAGTTCACAGAGGGAGTGAACCATAATTGCTAGGCCCAGCAGGAAGATTCTCATGAGAAACTGCCCTTTGCACTGGAGCCTCTCTGTCATTGTCTGCCTGAAAATCATTGACCAAACCATCTCCATCTTGTACCTCAGCCTCAGCACCATCATTTCTCTCATCATTTCCCACATCAGGATCCTGATGCACAAACACAGGCTGATTCCCAACACTAACCTTCTTTACAAAACCACATTTTATTAATTTGAGCTGATGAAAATCCAGAAACGTACACAACAGTGGGTCTTCAATATCTACAGCAGCTGTTCATCTACAAATCTATGTTCATCATGGGTTAGCAGTACAACACTATAGCTAAAATAAAAGTTGCATTAAAAGAAACATAGGGTCTATATCATAGGAAGCAGTAGTTCAACTTTATGCATACCTGAAGTGGTGTCTCCATTTTCAGAAGGACATTGAACTGGAATCTGTTCACAGTAGAGGAACTGGGGAGCATAACTACTAAGTCTAACAAAGAATAGATAATGAACTGGATATGTTTAGTCTGAAGGTGACACAGTAGCAATTTTCAGATATCTGACAACTATCTGAAAATAGCTATATGCTATAGAAGATGGCACAAGCATTTGCTCCGAAAGGACAAGTATTCGTGGATGGAGATTGCAGGGAAACATTACCAAATGCTTTTTCTTTGTAATGAGCATATATGTTCTAGGTGCATGTAATGCAATTTATGCTTTTACCCTAGCAATTGGATTGAGACTTAATCAATGTCAATGTAAACAAGTCACTCGTTTTTCTTCCTAGAGGGAATCATTTCCATCAGCTACTTCCCAAGTGAGACCTTTAGAAGGGCGCATTGCCCGAGCACTGCAAGGTAAACAAAGCCATATCTCAAACTCTCAACAGAAGGATTGCTCAGATGTTCATAGGCCTTCCTTTCACTATACTGACGACTCACCCAGATGTTCGGTGGAGATGTGGAACAACAGCAAAACATCACCAGATGCATTTCAACAGGATTCAGATGTGGACAAAAGAGCACAGAAACTGATCGAGTACTTGCTTCAGACTCCAATTCAGCCTCAAAGAGAGTATCAAGGAGAAATCTGTCAAATTAGGAAATTCCCACAGAACAAGTATCAGAAGATCACGGACACATGGAAAACAGAGAAGTTGTACCAAAGGCAAATTGACATTCCACCTGAACCAGAGCCAACTCTGAAACCTGCAGACCCTATTTACTATGAAGATTTGCCACCCTCCCGTTTGAACAGATATATCATATGGCACCACCCTGTCAGTCTCAGTAAACCAGGTGCAAGAAATCAATTCGTTGGGAAACAGACAAACAAGCCAACTCCCACGCCTGTTCCTGATCTCAATGACATTCAACAAAGCCCCTCATTCCCAAAATGGATTCCTAATTGTGGAGTGGCTCGGCCCCAGACAAAGTTACTGGATATTCAGAATTCTTTTTCAAAGGGAGGTGCCATCAAGTATTTGAGAGAGCTCACTCGAGGAGGAATAAGGGACCTCCGGGATCACGACAAGGAAGGCAGAAGGCATACATTCCAGGGCATTAATTCCGGTTTCTTTCACTGACCCACTTCCTTAATCTTTCAGATAAAAGAAGATAAGGAGTGATAAAACCTACACTGGCATTTCCGCCAATTGAAGCTGAATTGTGTTCTTTCCCATTCTCCTTTACACTTAATTCTCTTAGTGTTCCTGTTCATACACAAATCATTGATATAATATCCTCAAAACCAAAAGCAAAAAAAAGTGTTGCACGATGTATTGGTAGACTTGTGGGTGAGTTTCCATAGATCTCTAAGTTTTTTTCCTAAGATTCAAAGCAGGGGTGAAGATCTATAAAAATTGTTTGAGGCTTTCAGAATCCTGAAACATATCCAAATTTGTGACATTTTCCCAATAAAATGCTACACACATGCACTAGAGGGCATAGGAAGCATTTTAAATATATTTTGTCCCTGCATCCTTTCATATCAGACTCAGCCAAAGACTTTTTTTTTTGGAAGGGGGGGAGGGCAATACATTAACCAGTCCAAGAAAGTTCCCCAGGCACTGTTAGTGCCATCACAGGACACACATACCCACAAACTGATCATAATACATGAAAAGCAAAGTTGCTGTGGGACGTTACAGTGAGACTTAAGTGCCACTTCTGTAAACTTTTCTGTGGCCCTAATGAATGCTAATACTCAATTCTGATTTGCCACGGATAAAAAATAATATTATTGTCTTTGGCCACTCCAGCAATAGAATTAATCTTTTGCAGAACCTAAAAACCAAGGTCCTTTCCATACAGTCCTATGTCCCAGAATATCAAGGCAGAAAAACTCACAATATCTACTTTGAATTGGGTTATCTGAGTCCACACTCAGATAATGTAGACTTTTCTGCCTTGATATTCTGGGATATAGGGCTGTGTGGAAGGGCCACAAGACACACAGAGATAAATCACCTTTTATAAAAACAGAACACAAAAAGGGGGTGATAAGGAATCAGAAGCTTGATTCTAAAGAAAAGTTTTAAAGGACATTGGAGCAGTGTACTTTTCAAATTGTTTTCATACTTGTGGCAACCCTATCACAGAGTTTTCTTGGTAAGATTTGTTCAGAGGGGGTTTACTGAGACTGAAAGAGTCCAACTTGTCTAAGGTCACACATTGAATTTCCATGGCTGAATGGGAATTCGAACTCTGCTCCCTAAGTTTAGTTGAATTCAGTCTTTGGTCCTAAGGTTGTAGCTGCATAGCCATACCACACTGACTCTTTGAAAGATTGTGAAAGAGTCTGAGTGATATATAATAGAGTGGCAGACTGCCAAACCGCATTGAGATCTTGTGCCTTTATGAGTTCCATAACAGGGAGGGCCTAGAACCCTCAGGAGTAAAAAAGCAGTCCAACAACTTTGTTCCAAGTCACACAACAAAAAGATGTGGGGCCTGAAATACATTTTGCAATGAGAACATAGGTAAAATGTAGTCTGTTGTATACTGTTTCCCCCCCAAATTTTTACTGAACCTTTACTAGGAGAGTGGGACCCCTTCCACACAGCTGAATAAAATCCCACATTATCTGCTTTGAACTGGAACATATGTCTGTGTGGACTCAGATAATCCAGTTCAAAGCAGATATTGTGGGATTTTCTGCCTTGATATTCTGGGATATGGGCCTGTGTGGAAGGGGCCTGGGAGGCATAGCAGTAAACTTTAAGCTACTCAATATATTCAATTTAATTTGGCTTTATTTCCTTCTTTTTAAAAACTTGAAATGAATGCATCCCTTTAATCCTTATTTTAATAAGGGGCATACTACCTTACAGCACTATTCTCAATAAATATTTATTTAGAATTGGTCAGATCTTGTTCCCCGGAGAGGACTTACAGCAGCATTCCCCAGTCCAGCTGTACTTCAGGAACTTCACTGCAATTATCAGGCAAAGTGTACTAAGCAGCAAACCAAATGACAACTCCTAAGATTCTTATGACGGAGTCACAACAGCAATATCATACTGGGTTGCTATGAGTTTTCCAGGCTATATGGCCATATTCCAGAAACATTCACTCCTGACATTTCATATATCATACTACTATAATTGCATAGTACAAAGACATTTGAACAGCAAAAACTACAATAGATTGGAAATCCATTTGTTAATCCAAACAACAGCAGACCCACCAAATCAACTGGAACTTATTTACTTGTATAATACTTTTCTCACCCTAGCGGTGGACTCATCACTTGATACATCACTTATGTATACTCTATTGATCCACAGCCCCAAATCTGCAAGACCTTAGCTGTTGTTAACAGGAATACTCGATGTCTCTCATATGTAGCATAATCATAAGAAATTGAGAATGGCAATAAATATTTCAATCTAGTATTTGGATGAGAGTCCACAAGAGCAGAGGTTCTCAAACTTCAATACATACTTCAAATATACTTGAAGCCACCCCGAGTCCCTTCGAGGAAAGGGAGCGGGATATAAATAAAGCTTCTTATTATTACTTTAAAATACATATATATTACAGTAATATTGTGTTCCATTAAGATTGTCTTTTGTCTTAATTTGGTTTTAATTGCAGTATTCCATTATTAAGTCAATTTTTGATATGGTATAGTATGTGATACTCTATTGATTAGGCCTATTTTAATAGTAACCCTCAAGCAACCAGAAACTGCATTGATCCGGCATCTACCAATCCCCATGAGTGATGGGGAGAGAGCGTATGAGCTCCTTCTGTCAGCTCTAGGTCCTCATGCGGGGACACAAGATAAGCCTCCCACAAGGGTAGTAAAACATCTGGGTATCCCCTGGGCAACTGAGAATCTAGTGTACTTAGAATCATAGAGTTGGAAGAGACCACATGGGCCATCCAGTCCAACCCCCTGCCAAGAAGCAGGAAAATTGCATTCAAAGCATCCCTACACATGGCCATCCAGCCTCTGTTTAAAAGCTTCCAAAGAAGRAGCCTCCACCACACTCCAAGGAAGAGAGTTCCACTGCTGAACAGCTCTTACAATCAGGAAGTTCTTCCTAATGTTCAGATGGAATCTCCTTTCTTGTAGTTTGATGCCATTGTTCCGCRTCCTAGTCTCMAGGGAAGCAGAAAACAAGCTTGCTCCCTCCTCCCTATGAGTTCCTCTCACATATTTATACATGGTTCTCATGTCTCCTCTCAGCCTTCTCTTCTTCAGGCTAAACACCCCCAGCTCTTTAAGCCGCTCCTCATAGGGCTTGTTCTCCAGACCTTTGATCATTTCAGTCGCTTTCTTCTGGACACATTCCAGCTTATTGTAAACTACACTGTTCTGACTTGTGAAAAGTGCCCTTTTTTCACAATTGTGTTAAAATAAGCAAGCCTGAAGTTTAATAATTAACTCTGAATGCCAAAGAAGGGCGTGGAAGCGCCACGCTCTCATTCGTTGCCTTTCCCCTCCTTCCATCAGCTGTGGGAAGAGGAAGGAGACTCAGGCAGACTCTGGGTGTGGGTGGAATCCCCAACTACGTCACTTTCTCCAGGACAGAGTCATGTGACCTTTTTTTCTCTCAAAAGGACCACGCCCCCTAATTTACCCGTGACCTTGCTCCTTGACGCATGCGCGGGCTCCTCCGTCCCTCTACGTCAGACGTCATTGCGCAAGGTCCTGACCGGTTACCTGAAGTCCCCTCAGGTCTCAACTGAACATGTTGGCTTACGTAGTGATGACGGACGCGGCGTTGGTCCAATCAGGACACCCTGCAACGACACTCTATTGGTCCGTGGAGAAACTGGGGGCAGGACAAGAGCTTGGTTGCAGAGACACCGGGTTCCTAGCGCTGGGTACACGGTGTCCTTGGTCTTGAGCGTCGGGAGTGTGGACAGGAGAGGGGCGGCCTAGGACTTCTTCCTCTGCTTGGCCTGGTAAGTCAGCGGGGCGGTGGGGTCGGGTCGGATTGGGGGTGCATATCCACCCACCCCTCGTGGTTTCTAATGCGGGATTTCCCCCTCCTCGTGGAATCTAAGGCGCCAAAAGGCAGGCAGTGAGCCTCGAAGGCCTCGGGGTAGGCCCGGCCTTGGCCTGAGGGGGCCGTTTTGGCGGGAGACGCCGGACAAAGCGAGCAGAGACCGCAAAAGTCAAGGAAGTCACCCAATGGAGGAGAGGCCAGGCCACGTGGCTCCTCTCCCGCGTCCCCTTCCACACAGTTATATAAAATCCGCATGGAACAGGAGTCTATGGCAATGTGGACTTAGATAACCCACTTCAATGCGGATATTGTGATACATATTTTTTGACTTCATATTATGAGTTATATGGCAGTGTGGAAAGGCCCAAGTTTGTCTGAGGGCCCTTCCACACAGCCATACAACCCAGAATATCAAGGCAGAAAATCCCACAATATCTGCTTTGAACTGGGTTATCTGAGTCCACACTCAGATAATGTAGGATTTTCCACCTTGATATTCTGGGATATAGGGCTGTGTGAAAGGGCCCTGAGAGTCTACTGCTTATTAACTGGAGAGATGCAGGTAACAAAAAAAATTGACTGTTGGATTTTTTTAATTTAAGATAGAAGGTGTAACTAATTAAAGCATTGTTATAATATTTATTCATCAATGTACTGTTGATGTATTTTAGTTCCTTCAAATAATCACATTAGCTACTGTTAGCTGTTAAAGGGAAGGTTGTATATATTTTTGAGGGGATATATCCTGTATAGTGGGATCTAGTGGTTGGCACAGTAGTTTAAAGGGAAAGTCTAGGGACCCTTCTTATAGTGCCATATAATCCAGATTACAAAGCAGATAATCTGGATTTTATATGGTAGTGTAGAAGAGGCCTATGTTTTATTTGACCTTGCTCTGTGCCACATTAGTTTGAAAGACTGCAAGGTTCCTCCATTATTGTTGCATCTAGTTACTCCCTGTACTGTAGATTGTACTGCCCTTGCCAAAAAGCAAGCTTTTAAAAGAGACACAGAGAGCCTCTTCATATATTTGCCAGGATTTAACCATTGTAATCAATTTATCAGTGGAACTGGAGGGACAGGTGAAAGCTAACTCTATTATGTGGTTTTGGGATGCTCCTCCTGAAGGGTGTGGTGCTATAGGATAGTTACGAGGGATTAAAAGTCACCTTGAAACTGAAAGCCAGTGAAATATGCTTAGGATTGCATTGCAACAGAACTCATTGGGAAGTTAAGGTCATTTTCAATCTTTTTGTTAGCTGCGATCAATTTAAGAGCAGCCTTAAAACAACATCAGCTAATAGCTTTTCATTTTTAAAGTTGATCTTTAACTTTGCTTCTTGGGATACACGTAATTATTCCAGAGTGAATGAGAGAACTGAAGGGTGCATATATGTTAGCTTTGTGGTGTTAATACATCACTGGTTTCCTAACACAAGGTAATGCATGCAGCCCCTAAGCAAAATGCGTAAGATTGTACCCTTACAGAATTTCCCAATACAATTATAGCCTACAGTAGTAAAAGTCATTTTGGTCTTCACCTGACCTGACTCCTTTTGGTTGCGACACTAGAGTAGACCCTGAAATGTTATCATACTCAAAGGAATGCAGTTAGTCGAATGTTCACAGGAATTGATGTTTTAAAATGTAGTGCTCTGAGTGTGTTTATATGTGGACAAACTTGAATGAGTTATATTGAAGGTTATGAGCTTTAGGTCAAATGCTGCCTCTATGCTATTTGCAAACCTAAGGGCAGAACATTGTCTCCTTTAATATCCTCCTACATACATATCATTATAACATTATTTTTGTCTGTCAGCTAGTGTTGACTTTTAAGCCTGTTTGCTTGCCTGTTTTGCGGAAAGGTTTAAAATTACCTAAAGCTTTACTTTTTTCCTCGTGCACAACTCATATGAGCACAACTGACCTTGGGCCATTGAAAAATGTGAATCTTCCCTTTCAACAGTGACAATGGGAGACGTTGAGAAGGGCAAGAAGATCTTTGTTCAGAAGTGTGCGCAGTGCCACACAGTTGAGAAGGGTGGCAAACACAAGACTGGCCCCAATCTGAATGGTCTCTTTGGCCGGAAGACTGGACAAGCTGATGGTTTCTCTTATACAGAAGCCAACAAAAGCAAAGGTAACGTCAAAATGTCCCACAAATCTTTCAAATCAAATAAGAGCTCAGCTCTGAGTTCTTAAGAACATGGTAGCATTTGAGAGGAGACAATGTGGCAAAGTGGTTTGAGGTCTAAACTAAGACTTGGGGAGATCAGAGATCAGCCATGGAAACCCGCAGAGTCACTTTGCACAAGCCATCTTAGAGGAAGGTAAACAATCTCTGAACATAAAATCATCTTAGAGTTTCCATAAGTTGGAAACAACTTGAAGGCACACAATAGCAAAGCAATAGGCAGAACACAGTAGGGTCGTGGGCTGTTATCTGTAGTGAAATGTCTCAACAGAATGAATCCAGTGGTCAGGGTATTCTGATCCATGTTCTATATTGCCCAAGGCTGGCATGTATTCCCCAAAATTCTGCCTCTTTTCTAAATTTCATTGGCATCTAACCATTTTATGGACAGTCTCATAATTTCCTTTTTTTATATATAATTATAATTTTTTATAATTCAGCCCAGGCCAAGACTTTCCATTGTTCCTTGCCTTTACATATTAATTTGGCTGATAAAGTGCTGCTGCCTAGAAACACGACTTTGCATTTTCATGCTGTTTACAGATTCTTAAACTTTGGATGATTATTTTGAGAAACAACATTAAAAAACCAGATTTTTAGTCTTTAGCAAATGCTCGTTTCAATGACATTTTAGTTTATATTAGGCATTATTTATTTGTATCCTGTCCTTCTGTCAAAAGTGAGACATTTCTATCAGTTGAGTTGGCTGAGCCTTCTGAGAGTTCAAAACACTTGGAGGACCAAAGTTGAGGGACCGCTAGTCTAAACTAGTAGTTCAAAATGGTATTCTAAAGTCAGTTCTAATTACTAGACTCAAATCTTGTTAGGTTTAACTGATTTAATATTTATATGCCATTTAGCACATGTTGTTGAACTTGGGTCCATGAGATGGAATCATTGAAGAAGAGGATTATAACTATTTATGCAAATGCAGGATCTCTAATAATTCTGTTATTTTTTAAAGGTATAATCTGGGGTGAAGATACATTGATGGAATACTTGGAAAACCCCAAGAAGTATATTCCGGGAACCAAGATGATCTTTGCTGGTATTAAGAAGAAGGGCGAGAGAGCAGATTTAATAGCATACCTGAAGGACGCCACTTCTAAGTAATGGCTCTCTGCTGCCTTATTTATTTCACCAAACAAAAAAGAAGTGACTCTGTGATGAGATTCGTTCTTAAACTTTCTATTTTTACATGCACTATATCTAACCCGACAACAATCTCGTCAGTCAGAGAACTTTGATCGTGAGTGGTCGTAAAAATATATGTACTGGTTCATGTTGTAATTTATAGAATTGTATAAATCAGGATTTATGGAATACGGACAGGGTAACATCACTGCTTCCTGATCATGTAATTAAAAAAAACCCTTTCAGTGTTTCTTTGTGTTATCTTTTTCAATGGTTTCAAAGCTATTTGAAACAGATGCATGGTGCTTTCATAACCTCATGATAGTATAGTTTGCCTCATCTTGCCTGCTGTGCTTTTCCAATGAACAAATTAAACATGGACACAGTATAGAGAAACTACAAGATGATTGTTTTTTGTTGTACCAGAACCATGGCTCTCCAAAGACGAGGTAGATATCAGATGACCAGTACATTCACCAGTGTCATGGAAATTTACCATCCATAAGATTAAGCCCTGTTATACAGTTTGGGGGCGAGGGATAGAGGAAGAACATATTTGTATTGTTTCCATTTTACTTCCAAAAATTGCTGCAGATTGTTGAGGGAGCTTCAAAATATAATGGAAGATGTATTTGGTATTGCTTAAAAGAGAAATTGCCCAAACTCTTCCATTTATTGAAACCCTCTGCTGGATCAAAGAGTTCTAGGAATGGGAAATGTCCATTTGTGGAAGGAAATCTGGGATGTATCCCAAACACTGCAAAAACTATAGACCACAATTTCTGAAAAATGTTGAACAGTATTATCCTGCTATCTGAAACATTGCATGCATTTTTGGAAATTCTCCTATTTAACTGCTGACCTACAATGCTATGTCAGAGACCATTTAACAGAGGCAGTTGAGCAGAAGAACACAAAGTTTGGACTTGAAAATCCATACAGATGGTAAAAATATAAAGATCAGAATATGGAATGTGTTTACTATGGTTTTGTGGCAATGTAAAAAAAAATCAGCCAATGATTCAGTTATTTACATGGTCATGTTCTTATAGTGCAAAGCATCACTTGGAACATTAACAGCACCAAGACAGTAGTCTTTGCCAGTGTGGTGCCTTGTACATACATTGGACTAATACTAGTGTCCAGATAATAGTTGCAAAATAAAGAAGGGGGGGTGGGTTCTACAATTTCAGTAAAGAAAGGCAAGAAAGAAAATGACACATGGATGAGTATGACAACAGATACTTCAAGTGCTTCTCATAGATTCCTAACGTGTCTTATATGTAGAAGCATACTTTATATCTATTTCTTACTGTGTGAAGAACTTCCTTCAGCAAGAAATGTATAGTTCTTCCTAGAAACCATGAGATATGTACTTTGGGCGTGTGACAATATCTGACTAATAAGGTAAGGTAGAAGATAGAAGGAAAAGAAAAATCTCAGTTCAAGAAGCATGGACCTGAGCTGATAACAGAGTGACTTGGTTCCCTCATTTGTATGGTTCCATAAGTTGATAAGAATGAAGATGTGTTTACGCTATACAGTTAATACAGCTTGATGCAACTTTAACTACCATGTCCCAATATTGAGAGTTACAGTTTTATGAAGACTAGTCTTTGCCAAAGAATGATGCCAAAATACAAATCCCAAGATTCCATAGCATTGAATCATGGCAGTTAACATGTCAAACTGCATTAATTCTACAGTGTACTTGCACTCTGGGCCTGCATAGTTTACTAGGCATGTGATTTATGCATTGAGAAATCCATGGAAATATAAAAGATTCTAGGCACCATATAAAATTGCATAGAAACCCAAGGTTAGTGACACAGTGATGGTGGCTAAATATTCAGATGGGTGTTTGAAATAGATAGAATAGTAAGAGTTGGAAGAGACCTCATGGGCCATCCAGTCCAACCCCCTGCCAAGAAGCAGGAATGCTGCATTCAAAGCACCCCTGACATGGCCATCCAGCCTCTGTTTAAAAACTTCCAAAGAAGGAGCCTCCACCACACTCTAGGGCAGAGAGTTCCACTGCTGAATGGCTCTCACAGTCAGGAAGTTCTTCCTCATGTTCAGATGTTTCGTAGAAATGAGTTTGCAGTTGAGGTTTTTTCACAAAATAGAGAGTTTCAAGATGTGCTTTGACAGCTTTCTTCAGATGTAATACAGAGTGATATTTAAGCCTCAACTTATAAAACAAATATACAGCTGTGTGATACAATATAATAGGACCCAGAAATATGCAAATCATGACCCTTTCCCGAAATTTCAAAAGGCTGCATAAGGTGATACAGGTTATTTTGCATCTTCACAGTAATCAATTAGTGTTGGTGTGTGAAATCAATAAATCTACTTACCAAAGGTCACTTTCCTTGGGTTCAAAACTTTCTCTAAGAAGACCTCTTTTGTTATATGTGAACTAGCAAGAACTCCTGTATTCGTATATGTAGGGCACTATGAAGTATCTTTATTCATACCTATGCTAGTACAGTGGAATTGTTGGATAATTCCACTGTTTCTCTTTCTATCTTCTTAATTTCCTTGTTCAAGGGCCATGGCCAGTAAAACCTGTACTACATATCCAGGAAGGTGAAATATTTTGTAACACATTCCAGCTCAGATCAGACAAATCTCAGTTGGGCCAGAAGAGGGAGCTAAAGCATAAAGCTTCACTACTACAAATGTAGCATCCTAGTATTTGTGATTATAAAACTTCTAGGACTGAGTCATACTTACATATCTTCTCTACAAGGAGAGACAAAAATTGCAATTTTTTCTATAAGGAAAGCACTTCTATACTGGAAAAAGAAGAAACTATGTAGATAATGTAATTTTGCATTATTTATTTCACATACTGGTTTGGAGCCCCCGGTGGCACAATGGGTTAAACTCTTGTGTTGACAGCTGACCGAAATATCGGCGGTTCAAATCCACAAGACGGGGTGAGCTCCTGTTTGTCAGCCCAGCTTCCCATACGGGGACATGAGGGAAGCCACCCACAGGATGGTAAAACATCTGGGCGTCCCCTGGGAAACATCCTTGCAGACGGCCAATTCTCTCACACCAGAAGCAACTTGCAGTTTCTCAAGTTGCTCCTGACACACACACACACACACAAAACATACTGGTTTGTCCAGGCAATTGAGGCCAATTCAGCCCATGTATAATAAGCAGAAATATCAACTATGACTAGTAGTGATATGTAAAAACTGTAGAAATCAGTTGTATATCTGATAGCTAGGACTGAAGCCAAGGTAATCTTGCTTTGTTTCAATAATATGCTATCTTTTGAGACAAAGCCTGTGCAAGACATTTTTATAAACTACAATTGTAACACAATATAAAATACAGTCAAAACAAGAATCAAATGGTTAAAATACCAAGAGGAAATTACAGTGTATAACATAAAATCAAATACAGTGAAGAGAGTGGGAGAGAAGGACAATCCCTGATCCCTGACATCACTTTTTTTGTTTGCATCTTACCACAGAAGATATTCCACAGGTCAGTTATGGCAACATGGCATAATCAGAGGCTATTGGGTTTTGCTCCTTAATAGCAGGCGACAGGTTTGTCGCAAGGAATTGGAAATGAGTTGTGTGTGGATTTGTGCGACCTTCATGCAATAAAGTCTCAAGTGATTCGACATAAAAACAATAGCTCCTTTTACAAAAAAAAAATCTCATGGTATGGAAAATCTGTGTTAAGCTCTTATTGCCCTGTGATCTCCCTTTAAGTGTTTTCCTCCACATCAATTGACAGTCTGCTAGAGTTACAATGTGTCTATTATCTACCATATGTATCAAGTAGCATTTTGTGGAGCCTTGGATTCTGATCCTTCTTGTGAAATGCTAGACCCTCAGGTCCTCCATTAGACGGCATGATAGAATTTCAACACAGTCAATGTTATCCCTTAGATTTCTAGCCTGGATGACCTTTTTATGTGAGTGGTACAGTGTCTGAATTAGTTTATTGAGCTCTGCAGCAGTAGGGCAAACAAAAGACAAGAAGGAGAAATTCCAGCTGTGGATTAAAGAATCGCATTAATGTTTGCAGAATAATCCCTAATTGCATATAAATATAAAACATTGCACTGGTCTCTGCTGCTGTCATTTCTTGTTTTGGGTTTTAAAAAAAACCTTTTAGCTAGATAGAACAAGAAGAGGAAAAGGGGCTGGATTCATAATATGTCTTTGTAAAAAGGGGCTTCACTATCAAAACCTTTGTTAATTGAGGTATGTCTATAAAACAATGGTTCTTAACCTGTGGGCTGTGGACCACCAGTGGGCCACGAGGACAAAAATCTGGTCTGTGAGCCTCCTTCCTCTTTATTCATTTTATTTATTTTATTTCCACTCCTTTCACACTGCCTGCCACTCCTTTCCTGTTGCTGACCAGTCCCGCCCCCTTGGATAGACCACATCAGCTCTAGATGATTAAATATGGTTTTCTGTGGGTGAGCAGATGGTGACTACTGGATGACATATGTTCTGTATCAGAAACTAGAACTGATGTAGTCTATCCAAAGCAATTTTCTGAATCAGCAGCCCAAAAACCAAACCAAATCTAAAGTTGATCAAAAACTGATTTGTAGTCCTTTGGGTACTAATGTTGGAGAGTGGTCCTTGGTCAAAGTGGTCCCTGGTCAAAAAAGGTTGGGAACCACTGCCAAAAAAGAACTGTAGCTTTTTAAAATGTGATGTTTTAAATAATGTTTCTTGTCTGTAGTTTATCACTTTAGCACCACCACAAGTTTAGAAGGGATGCCTTAAAAACAATTACTAATTAAATAATAAGTTGCTGTTACTGCTTCCTTGCAGAAATGGGAAGAATTTTCTCCTGACTAACCTCTAAATTTTCCTATTGTTTTGTGTGTGTGTTTGTTTTTTGCCTTTGTGATCAAGTTTCCACTTTTACTTCTCCGTAAAGAAGTTTTAGAAATATGCGTGAAAACAGGTGGTGATTTTTAGATGTATTCTTATGTTGTTGGCAATTTCTGGGTCTTGATGGGAGGAAACATTTTATAAACCAAGATCAAAGTTAGTTGTGGTACATTGTCACTCTAGAGCAGTGGTTCTCAACTTATGGGTCCTCAGGTGTATTGGCCAGGAAATCCCAGCCAGTTTACCAGCTGTTAGGATATCTGGGATTTGAAGGCCAAAATATCTGGGGACCCACAGGCTGCGAACCACTGGCTCTGAAGGATATTTGCAGCCTGAGATGTGCTTCAGGTTTCTAGAGAGTTTT